CGATTTAATTATATTTTTAAATGGCCTGCCATTTATTGTGCAATGTGATTATATATTAAAATGGCCTGCCAYACTTTGCTCAGTATGATGATGTGCTAAAAATGATTTGATTGTAAATCTTAAATTTCTTAGTTACTAGAGACTTTGTTATTTTATATCTCTTTAGACATACCTGACATGTTTCGATGTATGCCTCCGTCTCCAACGCTGGTGTTTGTTGTCCTCTCTGYGGATGATTCTGGCTCYTTCCCAGTTCATAATACGATTTTCCCGTTTGCAGTGGTCCGTGTTGGCTGATTTATAATTTCCTTGCAAAGCTTGTTCTTTTATGGTTCGTAGTCTTTCTTCTGTTTCTTTCTCACATCCTTTTTCATGTTCCTTCCTCCTTCCCGTCTCCCCATGTATGTTTTTTCACAAGTATGGCATGATATTTCATATAAAACATTACATTTTTTATCTCTCCAAACAACATCAGCTGTGACACCTCTGATGAAGATGGAAGCATACGTCGAAACATGTCTAGTAACTAAGAAAATTTAAGATTTATCATATATAAACCATTGGATGATTTGATTGTATGTTAAAATGACCTGCCTTACATGTGTAATTTGAACATACATGTTTTTATAATCAAATGGCCTGTCTGATTTGATTATCTAATAAAATGGCTTGCCATACCCTGTGCAGTTTACTTATATATTCAAATAAAATGCCATCCCCGGTGCGATTTAATTAATTTCTTTAAATGGCCTGCCATTTATTGTGCAATTTGATTCTATAATAAAATGGCTTGCCATACTTAAAACCAACTTGAGTTACTAGAACCAGCACCCCTCTCTTCTACTACAGCGTTCGATGAGGCCTTGAGTTCAATTCCTTGTGAGGCTTTAGTTCTCTGCAGCTCCGCCTCCAGCTCTGTTCTCCTGAACTGTCGCCTGAGGAGGACTATGACAGCGATGAGGAAGAAAAAAGAGGAACCACTGAGACAGGTGATCAGACCCAGGAAAACGACTCTGCGAACCAAGAGAAGAACCGGACAAACAGGTAAACCAACTCCAGATTAAAGAACCGGGTTTGTTCTGAGAGTTAACCGGTCACCTGTACATGTCTGAGTCGTAAATACGACACGCCCCCCTCCCGCCACACTTCTTCATCGACCATTTCAGGCAAGTCGAGTCGATCAGAGCTCCGAAATACATCGGGGCGGGAATTCCACCTGCGCACAAAACACAGCCCCAAATTAAAAAAAACATGAAAATATACTCTTCGCTTCTGCCTGCTAATAGTTAAAAAATTACCCCCAAAACGTCTGAAAGAGGTYGTTTACATTAAGCTGCAAAACTCACCGAGAGTCCTGGTTCCTAAAGCCTGGATCCCCAGAGCCAGAGACTTCAAGTCTGGTGAAATGCATCTGTGTTTCAAAATAAACAATAAAGAAGCTATAGAAATTGGATTTCCTGCAAAAATCCTAATGTGATTACTTATTGCTGAAAACTTTAGCTGAGAGCTGCTGACATGGARCTGAAAATGTTTTGTTGCAAAACTGTTAATGCCTGTTCCATCTGAAAAGTTATAAGAAGCACAAAAATGAAATTAGAAGAAGAATGGCAGAAAAAAGCTGAATTATAGCTGAAATAGAAGAAAAAAGCTAAAATTAGCATAAAAACAAGCTAAAGGTAGCAGCCCCTAGTTGAAATTGGCACGTAGATGGTAAAAGTGTTGTAAAAAAAAATTTAAATTAGCTGAAAAAAGCATAAAGGTACACAAAAGTGACCATTTATTGTAAAATAGCCATTAAAAAAAAGCCAAATGCGCAATAAAATGCAACAGTAAAACAGCTAAAATGTAGCTGGAAATTCTTAAATAATTTTAATGAAGCATAAGGAGCACAGGTTTGATGAACTTAGCAGAAATATGTTGTAATAGCTACAAAAAATGTGTATTTAGTTTATAAAAGCTAACTTTAGCTAGCAGATGAACATTAGCTAAAATTTCAGAAAATAGCTAAATATAGCAGAAAGCTACTGTAAGACGCAGAAATAGCAGAAAGTAGCAGAAAAAAACAAAAAAGTAGAAAGAAGCAGAATTTTGGCTGAAATAGTAGAAAAAGCTAAAAATTAGCAAAAAAGAAGCTAAAATTAGCACAAGGAAGTTAAAAAGAGCAGAAACAGAACAAAAGGGGTTCTTTAAAGATTTAGAAACATTTTGAAGGATTTTAAGGATGTTGAAAACAGCTCCATTCACTTTCAATGGGAAAAATGTGGCCGAAAAAGTGAAATAGCTTAAAAAGTATAAATAGCTGAAATACCAAAAGTCATAGCAGGAATGTCCTGAAGGAGCTGAACGTTTTGATATATTAATTGTTAAAATGTCACAAAAATTGTGGAACAATACACCTAAATGGCAGATACTGAGCTAAATTCAAAGTGCTAACAAAGATTAGCCACAACCCTGTCCAACAAAAGCACCCCTGCTCCCCGTCTGCACTTGCTGTCTTTCCCGTATGAAAATGTAGCGCTGACCGTATGATGACCATGTAGCTGGGCGTGACTCCCAAAGCAATGATGAAGAAGCTGAGGACAGAAATGGCCATGTAGGAGGTGAAACTGCTGCTGCAGTCTTTGGCGTGGGGACACTGACCCAGCCTCACCGACGTGGTGCTGCCCACTGGGAAAGACTCGGACACGCAGCTGCAGTTGTGAAAGACCTGGAAACGACAACAGAACCAGGCTGAAATACTTAAAACCACTGACAGAACTATAAACTWTAGAATATGAAAATACGATAAAGGTGCGTGTTCTTGCGTGTTACCCTACTGTGTTCTTGCCGTGGCCGCTGGACGTGAGGCAGCCAGCCAGACACGGGGAGACGTAGGTGACGCCGCTGGCTGAACAAACGGGGTCCCACTCCTCAGCCGAGCATGAGCAGTCTGCGTTACATCCAGAGAAGAGCGCGTCTGTGTCGTACGACACGTTCTTCAACCTGGAGGGGAGAAATTAATGTGTGAATGCTCCATAGCATTCACACTATTGTGTTCATGTCTCTCTTTATTGTGTGAATATTTCATAGCATTCACACTTTGTTTTCATGTCAGTTTTTATTGTTGCTTTAACTATTCCGTACATTTTTCGGCACCTAACTCGTTCCGCAATTTTTGTTCTATTTCAAAAATTCATAAATCAAAACATTCAGCTCATTTATGACAACCCTGCTGTGACTTTTGGTATTTCAGCTATTTATACTTTTTCAGCTATTTCAGTTTTTTTGCCACTTCTTTGCAACTGAAAATAAATGTATTTGTTTCTAACATCCTTAAAATCCTTTAAAATGTCTCTAAATCTTTACAGCACCTTGCACAATTTGTTCTGGTTTGCACTTTTTAACGTCCTTGTGCGAATTTTAGCTTTTTTCTGCAATTTCAGCTAAAATTCTGCTTCTTTCTGATATTCTTCCACTTTTTTCTATATTATGCTTTTTTCTGCTACTTTATGCTATTTCTGATTCTTACAGCTGATTTCTGCTATATTCAGCTATTTGCTGCAATTTTAGCTATCCTTCAGCTGTTATTACCTGATTTTAGCTGAAACATGTTTTTTGTGGCTATTACAAACTTTTTCTGCTAAGTTAAGCAGACTTGTGCTCCTTATGCTAATTTTAAACATTCCAGCTACTTTTTAGCAGTTTACAGTAACTGACAAATTTGGCATTTTAGCTATTTTACTATAAATTGAAACTTTTATGTACTTTTTTTGCTAATTAAAAATTGTTTACATTTTCACTATCTGCTACATAATAGCTGTTATATATATAACAGCTTTTGCTGCTATTTCTACTATATTTTTGCTCCTTTTTACTATTTTCTGCAAAGTTAAGCTGTTTTTTGCTTCTTTCAGCTTTTCAAATTGTACTTGCATTAACACTTTTACCAACAGATATTTTCAGCTCAATTTCAGTAGCTATCAGCATAAGTTTTCAGCGAGTAGCATTCACAATAGCATTTTTCTTTTCAGGAAAATCAATTTCTCTAGGTTATATTTTGCATTTAGATCTAATTTGTTGCTGGGAACAATGAAACAGTTTCAGTGCTGACCCGTTGTACGACACGGTGAGGCCGGCCACAGGTAGGTTATCACACTTTGTGCCAAACAGCAGCAGTAAGAGCAGGTAGCCCATGAAGGTAGTGGTTAAACACAGCTGGGCTCCAGAGACCACACTCAGCTTGTACCTCCTCATTATAAGCCCCCCCAGGAAGATCCCCATGGCTGCTGCTGGCAAGTTCAGCACACCTGGAAGAAACGGTGAAACACAGAGATATATAAGAAGCCATTTTTATGGGCTTGTTCATGTTTATGCAGATGACACCCTACTCTTCTTGTTATTTTGGAGAGATTACCTCATGGTTAAAATGTAGGGTTGGGCAATGCTGCCAAAAAAAAAACATGATTAATTGTGGCGTTTAGTCCATTACTATAAGTAATCAGTGACCCTGTGTTCTGAAATTTTTATTACAAATCATCAGTTAAAGTAAATTCTTCACTTTAACAGCCACATCTCACGTTTTTTTTCCTCATCTTCCCTTGTATGGTTTTTAGTTTTTCTGTTGTTAAAGATAGCCCAACTGTGTTTGCTGCATGACCAGTTTCACCTGTTCCCCCATGTTTGCCTTGTATGTCTTCTTGAATGGGTGTTTATTAACTGCCCCCTCCCCCTTCCCTGAATGTACAGCACCTTGTGAATTTATTTCTGTAAAAACTTTATATAAATAAAACTTTACTTACTTACTTTACTATTTCTTTCCAGAACCTAATTTGCCACATGTAAGGGATAGCATCGGTGCATCGTGGATTCTTGGCAGAGTAGACTTGTTTCCGCAATTTACCTGAGAAGAGTTTATCATACCGACGTTGTCTCTGTCCTTATTTTCTGGAATACCTTGTACTTTGGTTTATGGAAGTGATTCAGATGATTAAACAAGTAAGTAGTGTTAGCGTTACCATTAGCTTTACATCCGAGTAAGTGCTAGCTCTACGTTAGTGCTAGCTCTGCATTAGTGTTAGYTCCACATTAGCATTGCGTCAATGTTAGCTCTGCATTGGTGTTAGCTCCACATTAGCATTGCATCCGTGTTAGCTCTGCATTGGTGTTAGCTCCACATTAGCGTTGTGTCAGTGTTAGCTCGGCATTAGTATTAGCTTCACATGAGCATTGTGTCATGCTGCGTTCCAGTTGTCCTCAGAGGTTGTAGCTTCGAGCCTCCGAGTTCTATTTTTCAACTGGAACGCCCCCTGAAGTCGTAGTTTTGAGTCGAGAGGTCGGCGCATCCAAACCATACCCGAGCAGCCCGAGCATGCATTACGTCATCATTTCAACATGGCTGCTGTGCGCTTGTTCCTCTAAGCTAACGGCTAATGTTGAGCTGTAATCAAACGTACACAAGCACCATCCCCATTATTTAACAGACAGAAAGTAAGAAGAGAGAAGGCAGAATAAAAACGAGTGTATTTTGTTTGTTTATTTTCCCTTTTTATATTTGTTTAATGTATGTAGCGTACTAGCATGCTTGTCTGAGCTAACCGCTAACGTTGCTAGTCTTGCATGTAAACAAAAGCGGCTTTGTTCTGTGTTGTTTATTTTACATTACGTCAGACGTACTTGTAGTGCTTTATAGTGATAGTTAAAATATGTTTTAACACTGTTTGTACACTCAAAATACCTCGTWGAGCACTATTATTGTAAGTTTTATTGTTGCAGAGCAAAATAATTGAAACGCTTTTTCCGATGTTTGAAACTGGAATGCTATCAGCTCAGAACTGACGTCAGTCCGGCTTCTGAATTTTGAGATCCAATACAACTGGAACGCAGCATCACTGTTAGCTCTGCAATGGAGTTAGATCTGCATTGGTGATAGCTCCAYGTTAGCATTGCATCAGTGTTAGCGCTGCATTAGTGTTAGCTCCACATTAGCATTGTGTCAGTGTTAGCTCTGCATTGATGTTAGCTCTGCATAAGTTAGCTCCACATTAGCCTTGTGTCAGTTTTAGCTCTGCATTGGTGTTAGCCCAGAGTTTGTGTTAGCTCTGCATTAGTGTTAGCTCTGCATTGGTGTTAGCTCCACATTAGCATTGCGTCAGTGTTAGCCCAGAGTTTGTGTTAGCTCTGCATTGGTGTTAGCCCAGAGTTAGTGTTGTGTGTGAAATGCTACAATTTTCCCGAAAAACAGTGGCGTTTGAACAGTGCCTGAGTTTGACAGTTCCACTGGAATTCTAAGCCAGACGTAGTACATCAAATAATACCCCTTGAAATGGGAAACACTTTCAAGAACCCTAAATGTCACCAGTTGTTGCCAGTTTCCCATTTGTGACACTTTTAAAACACTAAAAGCGTTACACTGTTGTGTCTTGACCAAATACATTACTGGGATGAAACACACTGGATTTTCTGATAAATTATTCAGCTCCATGTGGTAGATTCTCTGTGTCGATGTGTTTTTACCCAGGAGGAAGTTGGCCCTAGATGCCGACTGTCCAAACTGCTGCTCCATGTATTTGGCTTTGAAGGTGAAGAAGCCGATCATGGAGCTAGACTCCAGGATGGCCCCACAGAGAAACAGGAAGTAAACGGGGGTTCCCAACAGGCGCTTCAACGATGGAAGAAACCCTGAAGATAAAAATAAACACCCAGTTAAAAACACCAGCAGAGCTCCTGAACCTGAACACAGATCGCCTCTGACGTACCTTTAGCAATTTCAGTCAGCTTGAGGTTGTGGCTGCTGCTGAGCGTTTCCTCCGTCCCATCCGGGCTCACGTGGCGAGGAGCCGACTTGTCCTCCTCACCCTCCTGTTTGGGCAGCGAGCGTGGCAGGAACCAGAAGGGAATGCTGGAGACGAGCAGGAGGGAGGAGGACACCAGGAACCCCAGCCACCAGGCGCCCACCCAGCGGGCGTCTCTCGGAGTGATGGTCACGCCGTCTGCGTCCGAGACAGAGAGTCATTTCTTCAAACCCAACCCAAACTGCTTCCTCAAACTTTAAGCTGCGATAACCCTTCATGAATCAAAGCAGTTCAATCAGGATTAAAGTTACCACTAAATGTCTACAACTTTTACACATTTGAAGACTAATTTGTTTAAATTTATTTTTTCGAGAAAAGGGACAGATTTTTTTCTTCTTCTGCTACCTTTCATTTATGATTTGTATTTTTATTGTATTTAGAATTTGTTGTTTTTTTTATAAAAATGAATGAATAAAAACAAACTAAACATTTTTATTGTTAAACTTCATTTAAAACAGTTCTCTAAAATGTATTTCAGCGTATGTCCTCTGTTTTGGTGTTCTTAAGCTACTTTTAGCCTTTAGCGACATTCTTTTTAGCTTTAACTTTTAGCTACAATTTTGTTAACTTTGGTACTGTTACGCTAATGTTAGCATTCAGCTTCTGTATCGCTACACATAAGTTTTGGCTACTGCTTTGATAATCACAGTTTTTAATAACAGTTATTTCTAATCTAAGATTKTTTGCTACTGTTTTGGCAACTTTAGCAACATTTCAGCTAATTTTTAGCTTTCACCTTCTGTATTGCTACAATTGGGTTTCTAGCTACTGTTTTGATAATTATAGCTTTTAGCAACAGTTTTCTCTAATCTAAGATTTTAGTTATTGTCTTGCAAACTCAAGCTTGGAGCAACATTTCAGCTAAATTTTAGCTCTAACCTTCTGTACTGCTAAAGTTAGCTTTAAAAGCTGTTTTGTTAATTTAGCAATATGCTATATTTAGCAAAACAATAGATAAATTAGCTACTATTTTTGCTAGTTTTAGTGACTGTTGTGCTTATTTAGGATATAAGCTGCTGTTTTAAACATTTTAGCTTTTAGCTACAGTTTTGTCATCATTAGACCTAGCTATGAGTTTGCTAGATTTAACTTTTTACTATTGTTTTGCTAATTTTTATGAAAGTTTTTTGCTACAGTTTAGCTGATTTTGCTTATATCTATGGTTTTGCTAGTATCGGCTTTTAGATTAACTTTTGCTATTTTTAGCTACTCTTTTTATTAATTTCAGCATCTACCTTYGGCTTTTGCTCATTTTAGATGTTAGCTACAGTTTGCTACTTTTGGCAAATAACTTTGTTTTTTGTTATTTTATTGTAGCTACTCTTTTAACTGTTTTTAGTTTTTAGCTACTTTTGCTAGATTTAGCTTTTTGCTATTGTTTTATTGCTTTGATTTTGTTTACAGTTTTCAATAACATCAGAAAACACTCCCATTATATTTTCACACAAAAAAATTACCTATTATGTTATTTACGTCTTTCTTTTTGCATCGTCCTCAGACAGGATATAATCAGCCGAAAACAAATATTTATTCGCCTTATTCTTTGTGAGCAATGAATAATTGATTGTCAAAAACAAATAAAACAAAGACGGGGCTGTTTCCTGCAGAAATATTAAAACACAGAGTCCTCAGTGACCCCCTCTGACTGACGCGCTGCTGTTCTTAGACCAGCGTGTCCGACTTTTAGCTCCTCGAGCAGCAGGGTCRGTCTAAATGAGGCTCCAGACGGCGTCCCCCCCGTGTCCCCTCTGTCAAAAACTGACAGATTCCTGCCAAAAACTGACACCCCGTTTAACTTCATAAAGAAGAGACCAACTGTTCAAAGGACGTGGACTGAATTCAGAAAAAAATAAATACTAGGTAATGTTTTATATAGAAAGTAGTTAGAGAGAAGGTGAGGCGAACGTGTGTTTTAAGTACTGTACATACAGACCTGAAGCCCTTCAAAATAAAATCCCAAAAATACAAATTTATTTAACTACAATAAATGTGAGTAAAGATTTTGAGTCAACAACTCAAACTATATCAACTCTCTATCAAACATGAAGCGCACACGTACCCATATCAACATATCCAATGTCGACGTAAAGTTTGGCACAATAAGAGCCCAGGAGGAACCCGAACATGGGGCCCAGGAGCATGACGGTCTGGAGACAAGCTGCCAAAAACAACCAGAGGCTTCAGATTTCTATTTCAGCTCATCTGTAGGGTAAAAAAACCTCTATACCGCACAGAGGAAATAAAATAGAAGCTGAAATAACTGTATTATAGATGATATTTACTTCTCACCGATGTAGATCGGAGAGTTTTCAGCTCTAGCGAAGTCATCGATGTACGAGATGCCCAGAGGTGTGACCGGAGTTTCTCCGATTCCTCGCAGAGCGTTCGCCAGAAAAATGTAGACCCACATGTTGGAGCCGGACTCCCTCGCACAGGCTGCTAAAACAACAACAAAAACACAAGCTTAAAGCAGCAAAAGACAAGCTAAAAATAGCAATAGACTAGCTAAAAGGAACTAAAGACTAGCGCTAAGTAGCAAAAGACTAGCTCAAAGTACAAAAGACTAGCTCAAAGCACAAAAGACTAGCTCAAAGTAGCAAAAAACAAGTGAAAAGTAACAGGACTAGCTAAAAGTAGCTTAGTTCAATGTAGAAAAAAAAAGAGCTTAAAGCAGCAAAAGACTAGCTAAATATTGCAAAATAGTTCAAAGTAGCAACAGACAAGCTCAAAGTACAAAACACTAGATAAAAGTACCTAAAGTCTAGCTCAAAGTAGCATATACAGTAACAAGCTTTAAGTACTAAAAGACTAGACTAATGTAGCAAAAGGCAAGCTCAAAGTGGTGAATGACAAGCTAAAAATATAAGACTAGCTAAAAGTAGCAAAAGACTAGTTTAAAGTAGGATAAAACGAGCTTAAATTAGCAAAAGACTAGCAAAAAATAAGAAAATACAAGTTCAAAGTACAAAATTCTAGCTAAAAGTAGCTTAGGACTAGCTCAAAAGTAGCAAGACTAGCTAAAAGTAGCTCAAGACTAGTTCAATGTAGCATAAAACGAGCTTAAAGTAGCAAAAGCCTAACTAAATATAGCAAAACACTTGTTCAAAGTAGCAAAAGACATGCTCAAATTCCAAAAACTAGCTCAAAGCGCTAAAGACTAGCTAAAAGTACCTAAAAACTAGCTCAAACTAGCAAAAAACAAGTGAAAAGTAACAGGACTAGCTAAAAGTAGCTAAGTTCAATGTAGCATAAAATGAGCTTAAAGCAGCAAAAGACTAGCTAAATAATGCAAAATAGTTCAAAGTAGCAACAGATAAGCTCAAAGTAAAAAACACTAGCTAAAAGTACCAAAAGACTAGCTCAAAGTAGCATATAACAAGCTTTAAGTACCAAAAGACTAGACTAATGTAGCAAAAGACAAGCTCAAAGTGGTGAATGACAAGCTAAAAATACAAGACTAGCTAAAAGTAGCAAAAGACTAGTTTAAAGTAGGATAAAACGAGYTTAAATTAGCAAAAGACTAGCACAAAATAGGAAAATACAAGCTCAAAGTACAAAATTCTAGCTAAAAGTAGCTTAGGACTAGCTCAAAAGTAGCAAGAATAGYTAAAAGTAGCTCAAGACTAGTTCAATGTAGCATAAAACGAGCTTAAAGTAGCAAAAGCCTAACTAAATATAGCAAAACAATTGTTCAAAGTAGACATGCTCAAATTACAAAAGACTAGCTCAAAGTAGCAAAATACACGCTAAAAGTACCAAGACTAGCTAAAAGTACTGAAAGACTAGTTTAAAGTAGCAAAAGACAAGCTTAAAGCAGCAACTCACAAGCTAAAACTAGAAAAAGACTAGCTAAAGATACCTTCACTGTTCATCACAGACTCCTCTATCTGAACACCTTCAGCTGTTTTCAGAGGGTCCACACACGCAGAAATATTCGTGCTGTTGTTCTGAATAATGGTGTCGTATTTATATCTGTGAACCAAAAAAATAAATACATAAAAAATCTGAAACAAAAATAGAATCACTTGTTTTATTTAAATTATTGTGGATATTTCTGTTGGCCTTTACCGTCCCATAAAAAAGTGGGCGGAGCCTATGAGAAGAGCCCCGGCGGCCATGAGCAAACATCCAGCTGCTATGAGTCTAGGTCGATGGAGCCGAGCCCCAAAATGGCTGACCAGCGCCAGAAACAACAAGTTACCTGATTTAGACAAAAAAAGAGAAAGAAATCAGGCAGTGCATCCAGWAGGAACTCCACTAATGTAGCAAATATTTTGCTAACAGACACACAGACAGTCAATTTTCCCGGCGTTTAAAAAAAAAGCATCAGCACCCATCTCGAAGCTGCCGTCGATGAGGCTGACGTGCGTGCTGGAGAGGTCGAAGCGCCTCTCAATCTGAGTGATGGAGCTCTTCATGTAGGTGCCTGTCAGGGCCTTGGAGAAGTAGGCGAAGGAAAGTGCTACTATAAACAGCTAAAAGACACGAAACACACACACACACACACACACACACACACACACACACAC